CCACAGCTTCTGGTCCTGCGTGTCTGCTCCTCTCTGTAACACCAGAGCTCCACTTTGAGAAAGGCTGGATTTGAATTCCTGCTTGATTTTCAGATTGTTGACTCATTCTTCCAAATGCAACCAGACGTGCTCTGCAGAGCCATCCCTACATCTTGTTCATGTTTGACTGGTTCCAGACCAGAGACCTGTGACTACATTTGATGCTTCTGACCATTTTAAACACTGATTGCTTTGGTGGGTCGTTCAAACCTGTCTGCAGCTGGGGTAGGAGTGTCCTTCCAGGTGCACTTTTCCAGCTGCTCCATGATGAGACTGTTCTGGAACTGTTTTCTGTCGTTACAATAGTTGTGTTGGTTTGGAAATGTTTCTACATGAGTAACCGAAACCCAGAAAATGTAGGCTAGAGAGAATAATCAAGTGCTGATGTTCTTTATGAAAGTGTGCCTCATATCCACAGCAAAAATACTGTGCTCAGCCATCAGGGATGCCATGGGCAAGTGGCATTCCCCTCATAATTCAAAGGGGGAAAGGACGGAGATAAGTAGAGGATTCAGACCAGCGGAGACCCAAGGTGGGCGAGGAGCAGAGGTGATCAGCAGTTGGCCCTCACGTCCTCTGTGTCCCCTGGGTGTAGGAGTGCCGTTGAGTGGCTGTCCTCTGCTCTACTTAGTGAAGAACTGGTTAAATTGGGCAGAGATCTAGTCCCTCAAATTCCTGAGCTGAGTGCCGTGGGAGGCAGCTGGCGATTCAGGGAATGGGAAGAGTTATACCTGATTACAAAAGACTTGCTAGATTGATGTCTGCATTGTGGAGCTCTCAAAGGATGTTAATAAAGCTTTCCTCCTCCTAAAAGACAAGTTGCAAAGAGACATCAGGAGAGAGCTGTATTTATGCCATGTAAACATCTGACTTCAGAGCCTCATATAAATGATTCACCTGAGCTTGTTTCCTGCTCTGAATTATACCCCGGACAAATAGTGTGTTTTCAGTGACTACACAGGTGCCCAAGAACCAGAGCATAAAAATGGGTCTGGGAAGACAGTAGTGAGGAGATGGTATATCTGTTAATGTCCTGACTCTGTTCAAGGAATAAAACGGGAGCTTTGTAGAGGTACAGAGGGTGCTGGAGAGTAATGCAGTTTCACACACGCTTTTGCCTAAGGGTTCAAATACACAACTTGAACATTATCATGATTACCTTGTTGAATTGAGTGAGTTACACAGGTGTAAATGAGGTTTATTTTTGCCCCATGTTTTGGGTGCTCTGTTGCTCTGGTCCAAGGTGTGCTGCTCTGTGAGGTCCACATAAATTACCAAAATTCACTGTAATTGAACCCACTTTGTCAGTGGATTCCGGTTGCTTTCTAAGTGTGTCTTCTCATTCCATAGGTGCATGCATTTAACAAGGATTTACAGTGTTAAGTGCATGATCATATGGTGAAGCAGCTGAACATTTACAGCAGTTCTCCAGAGCTGAACTAAAGAGTGTGTGACTTAGTTTGCAACTAATATATTTTGCATTTGGTACATCCATGGCAGCGAGCCAATATCTGGGTTTAAACAATGGGAGATTATTTCACCTGTTGTGATTTCCAGGCAGCTCTCAAAATAAGGGGTCTGAGGAACAATGCAAGTCCCAGTTCCATAAGGAATTTCAAGAAGAACTCCAGAGAATTATAAAATGTTTAATAGCAAAGAAGAGTATGGAGAAGGGCCTGAAATGTACAGAACAGTCTTTAAGCAGAAGGGTCCAGTTTGTCTCCTAAGGTTGACAGACAAAAAGACACAGGCCCTTCAGGGAGTCAGCCAGAACCCTTCTATAACTTGTTTCTGGCAGATGCTAATTTTGAGAGAAGAAGCAGGTGACTGCAACTTCAGAGTCTGTTATTGTAAAGTTATTTACTTCCAGAACTGTTTTATAAATGTTGCACTGCTCAGCCTGGCGTAGAGGATCGGAGTCTGTTATTGTAAAGTTATTTACTTACAGAACTGTTTTATAAACGTTGCACTGCTCAGCCTGGCGTAGAGGATCAGGCAGCGGGTGTTCCTGTGGGCAGTTTGGTACCCAGGTGGGCTTGGCAGTGGCCACGGTGGTGTTGCATTACACATGATTCTTTGAGGATGCATCTCAGCTCCGCGTGTGGGTATCTGTGCAGTTTTATCTGGACTGTGTCCAGCTCCGTACAGAGGAGATTTGGATATATGCAGTCCATAATGCCCCTAAGCCAGCGTGGTTCTCTCTGCTTCCATCGCTGCTCTCTTTGCTGCAGCTCTGGCTGTGTATTAGTGCAGGGGAGCTGATGACTTCTCCTCGCTCTGGAGTATTGAAGAAATACATACGACAATCATGGCAAGGTTTTCCTTTGTAGCTCTGACATTGATTCATCTGCATTGTGTACTACACACATCAAGAGACTTTTTTCTTCCTCTTACTCATAGCTTTAAATCCTCCATGAAGAAAGGTTACTGTCCGTAAAAATTGGTTTTAGGTAGCTGCTTGTAACTCACCCACCATTTTTGAATGTTATCTTCCTGGTATTTAGCAACAGTGGCATGAATATGTACCTGGATACTTAATTTGCATGTGATGGTGTTTCTGGGAGATTTGAGACAAATTTACACAACTGAGGTTCTTTAGAATATTTAGGGGTATAAGCTGCATGAAAACTCTTGCAATTGCAACATGGTTGAGCCAGTAATACTATGGCTAAGCAGCAGCTCTTCACTCCTGGAGGAATACATTTTTAGCATGATGCAGGGTAAGCAGTTGGTACAGAATAAGATACTGTCACAGAAAGTTTTGGTGTTATAAATTGACTGTAATTAACACAGTGAAGCTTTTTTGATTGCAAAACACTGGATTTTTTTTATTTCCATAGACAAATAATGAACATTAATATGTATTTGAGATTTTAATAGATTTTTTTTTTTCTTTTGTACTTCGGGACAAAGGAAACTGTTTTAGCAGTTGCTTGTGTAGAGTACTTGAATCCAGTGGTCAAGTAACATGTTCCCAGTATCATCTCATGTGGAAGATTCATTCAATCCTTTAACAACTCTACAAAGTTGTCATTAGGACCTTACTAAGCACAAAAGTAGGAAGGAAGAGGACTAACCTGGGGCTAGTGATTAATATCCTCCTAATTAGTAAGGTGTTGGTTTTCAGCAAGGATGCTGGGAAGGATTTATACATCTGACACTTTGAGAAGGTCCTTATGTAAAATGCTGTCTTTGGTTTGTTGAAACCTTTTGAAACGAGATGGATTTCTATTCTATGCAGAAGGAAAAAAAAAAATGCTATGAAATGCTTGATTTAATTGGGGAAAAAAAACCTTACTAATTTGAATTATGCGAATATGCTGGTTGAGACTTGAATTGCAAAAGCACAATCTGGCAGCAGTGCTGGATGAAAATAAGGTTGTCCTCTATGGAGATCCACAGTTCTGACAAAATGTACTCTTGATTGTTTCCCGCATACAGGACGGGGTGACATTCAGCCCCAGTTGGATAGTGCTTTACAAGATGTCAATGATAAGTACCTACTGCTTGAAGAAACTGAGAAGCAAGCTGTCAGAAAAGCTCTGATTGAGGAGCGCGGTCGATTCTGTACTTTCATCTCGATGCTGCGACCCGTGATAGTAAGAGCTCTCCATTTTAAGTTGGTGCAATGCACAAATTGGATAAGTGTCCAAAAGCCTCTAAAAGGAGTAGCTTGTTATGTGTTAGGAATGAATCTCTAGAGCCATAGAAACTAGCCAAAATTCAACCTGCGTCTCTGCCTAGGAAGTGGTGAGATTTGGGCTCCTTCTTGTAGGCATTTGGCATAATTCAGCCATGGAAGACACTGAATGCTTTCACGATGACTAATGGGAAAACAGTGGGCACAAAGACAAGCTTGAGTTCCGTACGCATACCGACCTGAGACATTGCTAATGCAGTTTATTTCACTGCTTTTTTTTCATAACATCACATTTTATTATAAGTCTTCCTTACTCCTACTCTAGTGCGAGGACTGATAAATGTTTCAAGACCTCCCCTGTGGATATAATGACATTATCTGACAGATTGCAGGCTGCTTCTATGCAGTTTTCTGATAGCTCTTTTCCTCCTACATGACAGCTTTTTCAGTTCATTGAAAAGGTTTAAGTATATTTTCATAATCTCAGGTTGTCTGAAGCCCGGGGATGAATCGTTTGTGGCTTTGTGCAAGCATGATACATTTCTGAAGGGTCTCCAGCATACTGGGAAAATTTTGCAAATGCTTGTTTACAAAGAGCATCAGTCTCAACAGAAAACCATGATTAGAGAAGTAGGGAGGTGAATTGCTGAGCAGGAAGAAGTGACATGAAGACTCTGAGGACCTGGATGAAATTACCATGGTAGCTAAGGGATTTCTGCGGTAATTTACAGTGCAGGAATCATCTGAGTTAGCTGTTGATGTAGCTTGAGCCAGAATGAATCGTAGATGTATTAATGCTCTGTACCTGTATAGTGCCTTTATCTCAAAATTCCCAAAAACTAGCAAAAAGTACGAGTTTAACACCCATTTAGGTTCACAGTTAAAATCCTCAGGGCACATTAGTGAGTATGCATAGAAGAGTTCAGTCTTTTCCAAATGCAGCAAAAAAAAAATGAAGATGTCACAAAAAGAAGGCTGAGACTTATTTACCTCATTGATCAGAGAAAGGATTTCTGAGCCTCAGAAAGAGCAATCTTGAAGTAGTTATAAAACTCTAAATATTTCCAACCCTCTTTCATAGTTGGTGATTGCTTAATGGGCAAAGACAAAGCAGCTCCTCTGGGCATTGCCATAGTCATCAGCAAAACCAAAAATGTCGTGTATTGTGTTATGGCTCTGATTTTTAAAACCAAGGCTGTGATTAGCCTTCCTCTTTTGTCATTTTAGGAAGAAGAAATGTCAATGCTGGGAGAAGTAACCCATTTACAAACCATATCAGATGACCTGAAAAGTCTGACCATGGATCCACACAAATTGCCATCTTCAAGTGAACAGGTTAGCTCGTTACTTGGAAAATATTTTTATTTTTAGCTTGTAGCGGTTTTCCTTTTGTGTTATGAGGAATATTGACTACTAGCATTTAGTGTCTTTGTGTTATGTTTTGTAGATGCTTCACTGCAGCAAGGTCATTTTTAACATAAGCAATTTAAAAAAATTGTTTTTGAAGTACCAACTGAGGGCTTCTGAAGTATTTGATGAGACCGGTGTGAAGTGGTAGCAGTAACACTTTGAAGTGGTATATGAAGATGCCCAATTAATGCTGAGGGTACATGAGGAATGAGTGTCATCTCTTCACCCCACATTTGAGCATCCCTGTCTTTATGTAGTCACAAGATTGCTGAGATTAGGTAGCTTGACAGGGTCTGACATTTGAGCATTTTTCCATGCTGTCCTTAAAATGCATAGGAAGATTTGTATCATTAAATCACTCCAAATAGGACCTTTTTCTCCAGCTCTGCTGTGTGAACTCAGTTTTCTTGTCATACCTTAATCACCTTATCATTGAACATTGGATCTTCAATTAATTTTTTTAAATGCAGCAGTTTTTAAACTCTAAGGCTGTAATAGGTTTTTTTTAAGGAAAACCAAAACAAAACAAGAACTTACAACATGGATAAAATAAATCTCTAGTTTACTTTTTAAAGATTTTTCCATTAAAATGTGAACTTTCCTTCTGTGATAGCAGCCTGAGTGTTGAAGTATGGTAGTTCCTGGAAAGCCAAGGATGAAGCTGATTCTCCAGTGTAATATGCACAGTGTAATTCTGGGTCAATTGGCACTGAAAGTTTGTAGTGGTCACGAATGTTGTACGACAAGCAGATGTTTTCTGTTAATAGGGGAAAAAAATATCCATGTCCTTAACTCTACTGATTATCTTTCATTAGGTAATTTTAGATTTGAAAGGTTCTGATTACAGCTGGTCTTATCAGACTCCTCCATCCTCTCCCAGTACTACCATGTCCAGAAAATCCAGTGTTTGCAGGTAAGTACACTGGTAATATTTAATTTTAACCTGTTTGGGGGCAAAGGGAGGCAAGTTCAGACTGTGGTATGGATTTGTGTTCATACTTAGATCTTAAGTAACAAGTCTTAATGAAATCAGTCCCTCATGGTCTTACCCGTTTAAGTGTGTGACTGGGAATATTAAAAAGGATGGGCATGACTGAACAACTTTTAAACTCAAAACAGCTTGAAGATGCTTTTGATTCAGTTCTCTTGAATCCATTTCAGATCAAAGAGCAGACTGTACTGATCTAAGCTCTGAGATTGTTCATTCATAATTTCCTTTTCTGTTTTTCATGTGATGACTTTTTAGATTATTCTAAGTAGCTGTTACTAATCAGTAAGTTAACTGTTCGAAAAGGAAAAACATCCTTGGCAATTGCCCTATCAGTCTGGTAGATGGAAATGCTTTTTTGATACAAGTTTTTTTTACTGTTTAATGCTGTCTAATGCTGTCCTGAACTATGTTGAAACACTGGATTCTGTCTATGCTTTCTCTGTAAAAACTGTTTTCTCTCATAAAACAGTTTATTAGCATGTTGCCCCCATACCCTGGTGTCTACACTTACCCTTTCCTTTTGCAGAAAAGGAAGATATCCTATTGTCTATTCTGCTCGGCACCTTTCTAGCTGCTCTTGAATGATTACCTTTTAGTTTGCTTTATGAATAATGTACTACAGGCTCCCTGTGTATGAGCAAAGTTACCTATAGCATGTCAGAGCAAGTGAACATGACTTCTTCGATGTACCTACTTGTCTCTGCATGTAGATATATATAAAAAAAGCCTTCAGTACTTTTATATATATATGTGAAAATACGCGTATTTAGAGCAATGAGCACAGGCTTAAAGATGCAATATCCTGGAGCTGTAAAAGAAAATGGCAAAAAAAACCCCAACCAAACAGAAAAAACTTCATCATCTGTTCCTAATCAACCTCATCTTCTTGTGTGGTAAAAACTGGATGGCAACAGACTGTCATTTATGAGTAAAATAAGGCAGAGCTCCTCTTCCCTGCTCCAAGCTGACTTGTTCGTGTTCTGTGTACATGGCATTTGTGAGCAGGCGGTGCAGTCCTAGCCCATGTATTCTTCAGAGCCATCACTTTAGCTAGTCAGCGGTCTCCTGCCAACAAAGGTAGGAAGCTGCCTTCAGATTGCTGCATCCTGCTAGTCCTGCTGAGCCACCCCGGCAGGAAACTTCAAAGGCTCCCACATCGCAGCTGGCATGTCATTGCTGTCATTCATCAATACTGGAGATTAAAAATCAATCTCTTTGTTTGAAAAATCAATTATTTTTCATGGATATTAATTTGGGGTTTTAATTCTCTGATCATCTTTCTTACTGAAGCTACATACCCAGCGGCTTTACTTCACTTGATATGCCATCACATGCTTTTTTTTTGCTGGTAGAAAGCCCTCATGTGAGCGAAATCTCTCCCAGGTGCGCTGAAGCATGGGGTTTTGGTGATGCTTTCAGAAGTCTGACACGTTGGCCTGCTGACTGACTGCAGCAGCATGCTTAGAGGCAGACCTTTAGATGAACTGTGATGCCTTTGGACCCCCTGCTAGCAATCCATTGAAAATTTGGACCATGGTGCAAGAGCAACAAGGTGTAAGTCAGGAGTAGAAGAGAGTCATCAGCAGACATTTTTTGTGGAAGTGCTGTGTGAATGCTAGAGAGGGCATGTAGTGATCCCTTCATCCCTAACCGGACAAACTCTGAGTGGTTACAGAATTTGATGATTTGAGTGAAATTCAAGGTAAATGCCATTTTCTCTCTGGTTGCAAGGGATACTGCAGCTGCTTATGGTTCTTTACTGATATATATGTGCATATATATATATATTTAAATTTAATTTGTCAACATCTTTTCTTTTCCGGTTTATGCTGCTTGTTGCTAGAGACATGTGGAATGTTAATTGTACTGTATATGGGTCTCTCCCCACCCCACCCTTGTGTCTTTTCCTCTCCCCCTTCCTTTCTTTGTTCCTTTTGTCTCTCACAGCAGTCTGAACAGCGTTAACAGTAGTGATTCCCGGTCCAGTGGCTCCCACTCGCACTCACCTAGTTCACACTATCGCTATCGCAGCTCCAATCTGCCTCAGCAGGCACCCATGAGGCTGTCCAGTGTGTCCTCCCATGATTCTGGATTCATGTCCCAGGATGCTTTCCAGTCCAAATCGCCATCCCCCATGCCACCAGAAGCACCTAACCAGGTACGTGCAAGCATGAGAACAAAAACCTGAGCGTGACTTGGCTCACCTTTCACAAAAAAGGATCTGGAGTTGTTTTGGGGTACCTTGGAGTTAGGTTAAACACTGAGAGTAAGGTTTGTCTCACTGCATGTCATACACCTAAAAGTTGGGCCTCTAGCTGGAGTTAGCACTGAAGAAAGGGATGAGTCACCCTCAGGGATCTAATGTTTGCTCTGTCCCTGGAGGGAGCCGAGATGCCTAACTTTCACATACGTACAGATGAGACAGAGCAAGAAGTCCCACCTTACAGGAGGGAATAAGTATTCACTTTATCCACTGAAGTTACCAGTCAATATCCTGCACAGGTTGCAAGTTGATAATATCTGGTGGCTGTTTACTGTTTAATGGACAAATATTGGTGCCAGAACAGCCTTCTGACAGACTTGGTTATTGACACTGGTAGCCTCAGCATCAAAGAGACTGGTTTTATTTCTCTCCTGCAAAGGGCCTGGAATACTCAAAATTTGATTACCAGATTCGTATGAAATTGGTTCTGCTGTTTTTTATGACATTCCTTCCTGTGGATGCACTTGCTATTTCTGACTCTCAGTTGAGCACCTTGCAGAAATAAGATTTCTGCATGAAAATTAGGTTTTTATAGTTCTTTGTGGAAATCACAAGAAATTAGTGTTTGTGTACTCATATGGGATGGTGTCCTGAACCCGGACAAACTAAGGATTTCACTATAAATGTAAGACAAACTTTTCCAGAGCATTTTTTGGTCTGCAGAAGGAAGTTGCTGCTCCATTTGTTGATGGCATCATTCCTATAAAAACTAGCTGGCCACCTGCAGGCAGAGGTTTGCATGCCTCCATAGCATGTATCTTCCAGCACCTGAATTCTTTTTTTCTGTTTTTTGGGGGTTTTTTTAATAAATCACACAGCAACTGCAATATTTTTTAAACAAGGCTGAACTGCCATCTCACATTATAAACCCCACTGTAAATCTTAGTTGCAAAATGATGTGGACCTAATGTCCTGTTGTTATCACTCATTTTTAATACACTCTGAGGTCACTGGAGAAGATTGTCCTTTAGTAATAAATGTATTTGCACATTTTTTCATGTGTTTGGGAGTAGCTGGTTTTGTAGGCAATGATAACTTTAATCCTCACAGTCAGCCAGGAGCCAACAGTTTCAGTGTTAGTGGTTACCAAGTCTCACCTGCACGTTTCAGCTGCTCCTAGACCACCTTTGACAGCCCACAGACCCTTATTTTTTGCAGAACGTTTAGTAAGTAGCACTCTTAGTGAAGTGTTTAGGGTATCATCCAAAACAACACCGGTTCATTTAGGCTTGGAACATGTTCTCAAAGGAAAGTCAACAGGTTTTTAGTATATTTACCTCTTTCATTTTAATAGAAATGCTTTCTTTTCAAATTAATATATCTTCTGCACTGTCCCCAGTCTGGACACATTTTTTTATAGATGACATCCTGAAGAACTTTGTGCACACTAATAAAATGAATGTTTTGTTTAGATTGGCTATGGCTAACCTAAGTGAAATGCAAAAAAGTAAATGAGCAAATAATAAAGTAAACTGGAATAGTAACAAGGTAAGGAAGTTGACTTTTAAGATACGTACATCAGTTATACATGCTAGCATCATCCTTGGTTTTCATAGTGTCCACTGCACCTGCATAAAAGGGCAGTGATCTACGTGATGATGCTGTGTTTGCAGATGAGGATGTAATTTTGCAATTGCCCTTAGCATGGAAAAAACCCAACACCTGTCTTTGCAAGTTCCCCTGTTAAGCAGGGGAGAGAACTTAGGCTGGTATCAGCTGGCAGAGCATCCTGAAAGTTGATGGGAGTCACGCTGATTTACACCAGCTAAGTTCACATGCTTTCACTTCATTTTAGAAACTGTCCATAAAGTTGCAAACTGATCTAAGCTTCACTCGAGCTATTCATGAGCTGTAGAAGGCTGCAGCAGGGTGGCATTGACTTGACAAGTGTAGTGTGTTGGTATAACAAATAGGTATGTGCTCTGTATGTCTCTAGTTCTGTATACCTTTACGCAAAGGCAAAGGTAACAGATCATTGCCTGGCCGCTTCATCTTTGCTTAAGTGTCTTGCTTTGTATGTTCAGCACTAAGTAAAATGTGTGTGTTGTGCTGACAGATAATTGTGATTGTGAGCTTCCCAAGAAGCTGTTCAATTTACAGTGTTATTTCATGTTGTGTGTCTCTAACCAACTGACAGATCTTCCTTGTGGTATTGTGCTTTCCAGGCTCGGTGTTGGGTGGGGAGGAGCAGCAATATCAGCTGCTGTTTCTAAAACACTGATGTCATTGTTTCTAGTAGTGACACAGAGAAAGCAGAAAAGCAAGCTCTGGAATCAACAAAGGAAATTAAAGCTATTTATCTTGTGCAGGTGGACGCTTTTCTGATGTTTTCTAGCTACATGCTGTGGCATCTGCTGGCAGCAGTAGTTTTGAAAGCAACAAAGTCCATTTTCTTTTAATAATGAATTAAATAAAAAAAAGTACAAGGGGGTTATATAAAATTCCCATATTATGGGAATGAGAATATATGAGCTATGTATGACCTACATTTTAGACAAGCAAGTGTCACTGAAAATTAAACTGAATTTATTCAAAATCACAGATGGCGGCGGGGGGGGGGAATGTCAAACAAGGAATAAGTAGAGATTTAAATAGGACAACAGACTATACCAGAGGAGAGATGATTGGCAAAATGAAGACTGCTTTTCAGCCTATAGTAGCTGAGTAGTAAAGTCTTTACAGTTGTCACACTCTGCATAGAAGATAGGAAAAAGAACAATTATAAAACCAGGCTCTGCCCTTACGCTGGTTAGTATGATCACTTTTCTGCAGCAGTGCTGTTAACATGACTGTGAGTGAAAGTGTCAGCCTGTAACTGACAGCCGTACATGTGGAAAGGGCACTGTCAAATGCTGTAATCTTAATTAAGCAAGTGCATTTGGGTATAGCTGAACAGCTGGAGAAGCATCTCAGGTCTCTTTCTGGAGTGGAACAGTTTCTCTAAATGCCAGATGGGAGGTCAGCCCTGGCCAGCGTTGCCCGAGGCGTGTATTCACACCATGGGGAGCCCTCCTGGCAGACCTGCTGCTGGGAGCACGGGGTGGCTCTTGGATGAACACCAAACATGGCTGGTGCTGCTAACCCTGCACATTCCCCTATGGAGTAGACAAACTGAGGTCTGGGGGTATCTGCGATGAAGTCATTTGGTGGTAGTATGGTTACGTTTAATTTAGGGGGATGATAATAGAAGGATCCACTGGGCTTGGAGTGAACATGCATGGGAGAAGCAATTAAACAGTTGATTTTAGAGGCTGCTTATGACTTTGTGGGGATGAAAGCAAGGGGAGATACAGAAGCAGATGAAGAAAAGTCTTGATGTGCTGTCAATCAGCAGAGGACTAAGTCTTTATTGTTAGAATATTCTGGAAATCGCTTTTCCTAAACTGTGAAGTAGAGGAAAACAGAATGTGAACTTGCTTCTGCATGTACAGATTAGCAAGCTGGAAGGATTCTGCTTTTGAGGAGACTTCATTGCTTGAAATAGCTTGAAGTTAGAATAGGGGAAATGTATCGTTACAACTATTCAGTTTTCCATGTAAATTAAGAAATGCTCCCAAATCAGACCTTAAAAAAAAACCTAAAACCAAGAAAACCAAAAAGAACAGAAATGCATCTGTAAATTATCACCAGGTATTTTATTTCTCCTAAATTTCCTTTTTTAAGTTAAGTTTCCCAACAGTTTGCCCCTGGCTAGAACAAAGGAGTCAGTAGAGACATGTTCCTGGAAGTGAGACAAATTGAGGAGGTGACCTTGAGTCACTATCCAAAGCTTTTTGAAAGGTAACTGGGATGTCTACCACTGACTGTAGAGGGACATTGGACCAAGCTCTTCATTAGGATTTAGTCTCCTGCGAAGCCCTTGCCCAGGAAGCTCTGTCTAGTAGTTGAGGAGGGGAAGGGGTTAAGAAAGCAATATATATTTGAATGGAAAACATAGCAAACAAAGGATGCAAGTAATCCAGGATAACTGCGATCCTTTTATAGATTAGTAGGACAACAAATGTAAAATATAATCATTCAGTCCAGTAGCCCAAAATACAGCTTTTTTTTTTAATATCCTTGCTGAATTTTATACATACCACTCTAAGCAGTGGAACACTATCCAAGAACAAGCCATGGCACAATGTCTGAGAGACCAGATACCAAGCTACCTATGTATAATGTACGTTTGAGAAACTGGCTGTTGCTGTGCAGAGCACAGTTTTAGCTTTCTGCTGATACTGTTAACTTTAAGCTTTTTCACAGAAGAGATGGTTTGAGAGTGGAGCAGAACCACCATTATCGCAGCTGTGGAAAAAAAAAATTGCCTTAGGTTAAAATAGCTAAAATGAAAGAACTCATTTTTAAAATTATTCGAACGAAACAATTATTTTAAAAAGGCATCGACTAAAATAAGTTGAAAAAAGTCCCATAGTCAAGTTTCTCACTCCATCGACGTGGAGTAGAAGTTGCTCTGCCTGGTGTTTGCCTGTGTGTGTGCTCCCAGGAGCATGTGCCAGTGGGTGTGTGTCCAGAACAAGCACTCAAATTTGTGAGACTTTTTGTCCAAGCAGTAACTATGCAGTTTCTGTTTTCAGCCCCTCGTGTACTTTTCTGCTAAGAAATGAAGGGTGGTCTGTGCTTCCCACACCTGGGTCCAACCATTCAAGACTGTGCCTGCAGCCTGATCCAGGCAGCCCTTGACTTGCTGCCGCTTGTGTTGTCTTTGCGCTTTTCCTTCAGGAGTTCAGTATTCTTCTGCTTCCCTTGCCATCGTTTCCTCACTGTTGTCATCCTTTTTTAGCAAGACCAGAGGCTCCCCTTCCCTGTGCTGTGCAAGTTTCTCAAGACAAGGAGACCCTCTCTCCCTACAGCCACCTCTTTCATTTCCTTCAGCTATCAAAATGTTTTCCCCTTGGCATCTTGGTTTATCCTTTGGGTAGTTTTGCCTGTTGAAAATGGCCTCGCTGAGTTTAGTGGGAGAGTCCTTTCTTTCATCTTCCTTTCACTTTGGAGTCACTTTATTGCAAAAATAAGTTCACCACTTCCAATATTTTTTCCTCACACACCAAATAAATTGAAGAATTCTTTGCATCTTCAGAATTTACATTTTTTGCCTTTTTCCATCTAGTTGCTACATGCAGCTTAATTCCTAATAAACCTAGTTTATGACCCATTTCTACCATTATGTGACATAATCTCTTTAAGTTTCTGGCTTGTAAAAAGGAACAGTCTATCGGGTGTAAATTCCAGATTCTCACTTGTCATCATAAAGGCATCTGCAGAAAACAAGGTGGTGTGATACAGTATCTGGAACTCAGACTCCTCACTGTCTGTCCTGCCATGTGCAGAGTGTGCAGACCCAGGTGCGTCTTCTGGGCCATAAACTTGAGTTTTCAGAAGGCATTTTCAGAAATTACATTTTTCTTTCTTTTTTTCGCCCCTGGCCAAAGTGTAACATGAGTGTGAGTGTTCTCATGGGGCTTTTCAGACAGTTTCTTTTGTTGAGCTACCTAGAATGTCAGGCAGAACTTGGAGACTTAGTCTAAAAGCTAATTTTCTATAATGCATTTTTATCTAAAGATAGAAAAAATAGGCTCATCTTCATTTAGTGTACTGTAGTTATGTCTGACGGCAGAGTCAACTGCAGCTCCTGTTTATCTGTGTTCTTATTTTTAGAGGGTTTTTCTCCTGTAAAAGGAGTTGTATTAAATCAAGAATGTGACAAGTTCCACAAAACACCAAGCCAGTGCATCATCCGGTACCTCACTGCATACTTTTCACTTCTCTCCTTAATAGCTACATGTCATATATTGTAGTTTCTCCTGATCTTATGTTCACCTCAACTCTTACTGCACTTTGAAGCCTTTTTAGCTGAGCTTACTTGTACCCTAAACACATTTGACAGGTCACGCGCAGATCTGATCTCATGTCAGCGTAAGACGGGATGTGTGTTATTTCTATAAAATAGTCCACCATATCACGTGCTTTTTTTTTTTTCTAATCAGTTTTTATCAGAATTTTGCAAAGTTCCATTTGAATCCAGTTTGTTAATAAGCTCAGGATGCTGATATTGTATTGGTTTCTCAACAGCCCCAACAGTATTCACCAGTATCCTTATGGTGATGGTATCCCATCTCAGGAGACTGACATCTCCTTTCACCTAGGCAGTTAGCTGCACAATCTTTATACGTCGTTTCTGGTGAGCAGTGAGACAACTTCTGAGTGTTAGCAGTAATTACTCTACAGTGCCTCTTATCCAGCTGTCTTTTTATTGCAAACTCACCCCGCGATCTCGTCTAAGGTTAACTGGTGAAATTTTATTTCAGATGAGATTTTGCTTCCTCTTCAAAATGTCGTTTGTTGAAATCTGAGGCTTTGCTACACAAACTTGATACAAGAGCTCATTTCTAGAAATCTCAGCCATTCGTTCTGCTGTCATAAAATAAAATGCCAGGGATATCCTTAGAGGGACTTGCTTCACAGTTCTTGGGCTGCCAAAGGATTAATTAGGCTTGCTAGTGTTGAATTTCCTGACAGTGAATAGAGCTTGGTACTGCCCTGACAACTTTGCCAGTATTCTTGCCCATTTCAAAGCACTCAGCTGCACCTGTATGCACACCCCTGCTGAGGAGGATGCCGCTTTCAAGGGAGAGATGTATAATAGCATTGTAGTTGGTAAAATGGTCCACGTGGTTATTCACCACATGAATATTATTATTGGCCTGCCTACAGGTGAATTAGATGCTGTTGTAGAGGTCTTACAGCAGCAAATGTACATAAAGGTGTGCATTAAAAATTGGAAGAAAAGTTCCTAACTAGACCAAAATATTTGAGGAGTTTGATGGACACTCTGTGTCCTGCATTTTCCTTCCCTCTCCATCCAAGCCCCTGATATTTTATCTCTCTGCTGTTAAGAGGAGGTGAGTGGCAAGCACACGCCACCATTTATGCACTCAGCAGAGTACATGTACCTTCAGAACGGCTGCTGGGCAGAAAAGTTTGAGTCAGAGTGCTTTTGGTGTATGCATACTACCTGCAGAGGCACATGCATACAGATAATGCACTTTGAAAACCTCCAGCTTTGGTAAGTATCCCTTCTTTCTCTGTTCCATAATATTTGAACTCAGTTGAGCTTTTCACAAGCACTTTTGCAGATCAGAATATCCGAGAACTTGTGAATGTAAGTGACATTTGCTGCTCTATGTTTTAAATCTAAACTTTGTGTCCCTGAAGTACTGATGATCTGCTTTTCTGTATAAATCAGTTGTCTCAGTATATTGCATGTTTGGACTGTAGGTGCCCTCAGCTCCTTCAGCTTCTTGCTCTGAGACGGCTAACAGAATTCAGATGCTGAAATTGCAATGAGGAGTTGAGATCGCTGCATCGACTCCCTCATTCTCAAGCAGCGTGGCAAGTTCTCGCATTAAGCAAATGGCTTGTTTTGTTTCTCATAGACTTCCTGAACATTAGCAATGGTTTTGAGCAGTTTCTAATTGATTTTTAAAACCCTAACCCTTTGCTTCTCTCATCCTTCCCTCTCTCCTGTGTGTGTCTCTGTGTATATGCTTTTTGTCTTTTTTTTTGTGTGTATTTTTTTTCTTTTTTGGTGGCTTGTGTATCCTTTCCCTGCGTTGCGGTGCTGTTTTACGCTGCAGAATTCGTCCAGCTCTGCCTCTTCAGAAGCCTCTGAAACCTGCCAGTCAGTGAGCGAGTGCAGTTCCCCCACCTCAGTCAGCTCAGGCTCCACCATGGGGGCTTGGGCTTCCACAGATAAGGTGAAAAACTTCATCTCGAAGACATACAAACCTACTAGCTCGTTATCCAAACCCAGCAACACTTGGACAAAAAAAAACAAAAAACCACACATGCATGGGACGCAGCCAGGATTGCTCTCTGTGAAGATGAGAATAGGAACTGTTGCATGCTCCCTTAGAAATGAATCTGAATAAATCACAGCGACATTTGCCTTTAAACTAGCTGCTAGAGGGAAGCTACAAATTGGGCATTTTACAGAGGTAATTTTATAAGAAAAGCTCTTTGTCCACCTTTTCTACTCAAAAAGATTGTGGAACGCTGCCCAAACCCAGCAGGTTGCCTGACAAAGAGCATCTTGTCCAGGTTGGGTCATTTGTGGCTTCTTCCCTCTCTGCCGTTGGGCAGCATGCATTACACTGAGCAATTGGGGTTTGGTTTTGACCAAAACAAAAATGAAAACAAAACACACATGGCTGGAATAAATTACAGGGGATACACTGTGTATCGGGGGAGGAAGTGATAGCGGTCTCCATTCTCATCTGGTAAATCCTTGCTGTTGGGTTTTTTTCATTTTTTTCTTCCATATCATCACACAGCCAGTACATGTCATTTTCAAAGGATGTGTGCTTTTCCTCTCTGTCCAGCTACATAAATTAAACACCACCAATGCAAATGCCACCAGTATTGGAAAAGTTTTGTTTGTATGTCTGCAGTCTGCAGGGTACCTAAATTGCAAATGCTTTTTCACACTGTGCCGCTTTCATGGACAGAGGGCAAAGCTGCTCAGCCTGGAGACAATGACTGCTAGATTGATGTCTGAAATTTGTTATACCAAATAACAATTTTCAAGCAAACTCACTTCTGAACCAAGCATTGTATCAATTTTCTGTTGTTTATTTGCAGCAAAGCTAAGATTTTTCTTTCTTTTGTTTTAAGATACAGAAGTTTTCTCCCTAGAACATCAGTCGCAGTATATTTTCATATTCATTCTGTTTATATTAATTTCTCTGTTTTGTTTGTTTATTTGTTTCATTTCCAGTTGTCTAATGGGTTTTATCACTGTAGTTTATCAAGTGACCCATCCGTAGCTTCAGTTGGTGCAGGTCCTTTCCCTCATTTCCCGCCTGTCTCCTGCGCGTGGACTCGGGCTCCCTCAGCCCTCCTTCCAGACTACGTTCATTATTACACCATTGGGCCAGGCATGTTACCATCATCTAAGATCCCTAGCTGGAAGGTTTGTGTTCCTTTTGTTGTGGCAGTCCTCACCTCCTCATACCAACAGCGTGCGCACGGCAGTTGTTGCTACCTTTTGATCCATATAATTTCTCGTTGATTTGCTCTGTTTAATATCACTCTGAATGGGCACTGCATGGTGATAATCAGAGAGCTAAAATGTGGTGGTGGCTGTTTCAGAACGACCTTGTCTATTCTGGCACTGCCTAAAACATAGTAAAGCTGACAACAGCTAGGTAGGAAGGAATAGTTTAACTCTGGAACATTGGTGAAAGCACTCTGGGCTCTATTCAGCGAGGAAAGAGCTTGTTTAGCACCGTCAAATCTCTCACTTGAGCAGGGGAGCGCAGGCTTGGCATCCAGTTGGCTTTGTGAAACCAGACATTGAACAACATGATGTTCTCACTGCGGCAGCCGTGCTTAGCCCCCACCTTGGCCACAGTCAAGCATGATCTTGTAGATCCAGCTGGACTGGTTTAAGAAGGCGGTCATCACCAGTTGAACACCAGTGATGGCTGAAGCTATCCTAGCTTTCCTGCCCCAGACTGGAAGTGCTCACCCAGCTTGTTTTGCTCTGTTGGGTGAGACAGAGTGCAGTAACTTCCCTCCATTGTTCCAGCTGGATCTGCAGGGATCTTCCTTGGCATCAAAATGTCCCTGCTCTGCCAGAGCCTTGACTCTCATCCCTGCCAGGTGATTCCCCTTGGGAGGCTCTGCCTCAGAGGAAGGGGAGAAGGTCTCTAGTGCGTTACCCTGAATCTTCACAAGGCTGATGTGCAGTTGATAGTAGCTGCACAGATCTTGGATGCCTGTGGATGGTTATGTGGTACTGCACATGCACCATGGGACCTTCTTATACATGTAAATTGAGACACCTTGTGACGGACCCCCCTAATCTCTGTCTCCAGCAGCTGGAGACTGTTGAGACATACACGTGGGGTGGCCACAGTGGTCCTGGGGCTTCAAAGTCATTAGTTGTGTCTATGCCAGAAGTGCTTTGCCAGTACATTTCACAGCAAAACACTGACAGCAAAGACACAGCTGTTAAGGCAAAGCAGAGTTTTGTATGTGTTAATAAAACCAAAATATCTGCACAAGGGGCTTTGTCAGTACAGCTGCCTTGCATTTCTCGTACCTTGGACCGAGACACATGTCGGTAAAAATCTGTAGTGTGGTCTTAGCCCATCATTAATTATTTATCAGGAAGCTGTGCATAGGCTGGCCCGCACAGTGATGGAGTGTGTGGCCAGTTCTGACCCACAAGTTGTTTCTTCTGTTTTTATTTTTAAAGTACTCTTGTCTTGGTGAGGGAAAACTCTCTTAGGAGTGGGCTTGCCCCTGCAGCAGTTCACGTTTGGGGAGCTGCTGCTTAGCTGTGGTTCTATGTCCCAGCACAGGTCAATCCTGCTCTTTGTGTGCAGCGTCTGGTTTCTGGACACCCTCAGGACTTTGCTTAATAGAGCCCTGAGTGAATATAGCCCTTGTGGCCTGAGGAATTTCTGTTTCAAATTTGGCACCAGTAATTCAGAGTGAAAGTTAGTCTTTCTTCAGTACAGATCAGTGTTATAAACTAGATTTCAGATAGTAAGTAAACGGAGAGATTACTCAGAGTAACTTGCTCCTCTAATGTGTATCAAAAAGCTGTTCAAGCCTAATTTTTCAGAACTGAAGACATGCATAACAGCACGTGATACTAGAACTTGTGTACATCCAGAACAGTTACATCGCTGATTGGACACTTACATCTATTTTCTGCTGTGTGCCAGTGATTTTTGCATTTGCATTTCTGAAAATATAGGCTTTAACACAATGGAATTTCATTTAGAGAAAACTATAGTATTAAAATGTTAAAAGTCTTCATATGAGAACACTTAGGTAGAATAGGAAATTTAGATTCCCTAAAGGAGATGATAGGTTTTATAAGTGAAGATTTTTAATATCTGCAAAATTAATTTATTTCTGGCCTTATTCAGAAAGGCATGTCCAGTTTGATACATAATCTGTTACATTAGAATTGCCCTTTTGCGTAGTTTTACTTGTAATTAAAGCACAATTGCTGATGAAAGCTATCACTAACAAGCACATTTCCTTAGGACTGGGCCAAACCAGGCCCGTATGACCAGCCAACGGTGAACACATTGCAACGTCGCAAAGAAAAGCGCGAACCAGATGTCAATGGAGGAGCTCAGAGCGGACCAGCTGCTCCCCCTGAGGAGGCCCAGAGACCTCGGAGCATGACGGTGTCGGCTGCCACAAGGGTGAAGCTCTAATTTCAAATACACTATTTGGTGCAAAGGAAGCGGATGTGCCAGCTCCTGCCAATACTTTTTTGCCGTGCTTTGTGTTTGCACATGTTTATCTGAAAAGCAGGACTGGTGTGGTGTTGGGGTGGTCAGGGAAAGGGACACGAGCATGAGAGAAGATGCTGTTGGGTGTTGGCATTTGCAGCGCAATGGCATCCAAAGAAGCGTCTGTTTCCTTGAAGCCCTGGTAAATGGTTGGACACAAGCCTGTTGGGCTGCAATGGTGACAAGCTCTGCTTGGGAGGAGAGACAGCTAAAAGTCGGTGAAGATTGATTAATCTTTCTAGATGTAATGAGTCTCCTTTCTGTGCATAACCAGCAGGGTGAGGAGATGGAGGCCTGTGAGGAGCTGGCGCTCGCTCTGACGAGAGGGCTGCAGCTGGACACCCAGAGGAGCAGTCGGGATTCTTTGCAGTGCTCCAGCGGCTACAGCACCCAGACAACAACTCCGTGCTGTTCAGAGGACACGATCCCATCTCAAGGTATCCATCCAAGAGATGTTCTTTTTCAGCGCTTTCCCAGCCTGGCCATTACACACTCACGCCTCAGTGCCAAGGAGCTATATTCCAGCAGCTGTCACTCATGGGCTTTGTAGTCAGCTGGGGAGAACGGGATGAACATCACTGTTGTGAAGTTTTTTCCAGCTTGGAATGCAGGCTGGATTTATTAACTCAATAGAAAACTGGATTGCTGCATAGTGTACCGATCAGTCGTATTTTCTTGTGCATTACTGGCATGAGTTTTAGCTTAAGGATGCTGCCATTTTACACATAATGCTGGAATTACATTTTATGGGTTAAGTAGAATGACATTGGTATTGCATCATACACTTCTTGTGGTAGTAGTGTCCTTTCTGGGCTATTGCCTTAGAAAGTATGCAAGCGAATAAAGCTTTGCTTTCTTGTTCTGTACTCTGAATCTGCTCTTGGTTTCCCTTTGTGACATTTGATTTCCTACCTAAGCAGAAATTGTCGTAATTGGAAAAAGAATCCATTGGAGATTTTAATTTGGGCATACCTGGGAAGCTGCAGTAAGGCGTTGGGTTTTGTACCCTGCTTCAGAACCAGCAGCAAGCGGAGAGAGACAGAGTTCAGTGTTTGCAGTTCAGCGATCACATTGTTTGCTCAGCTGAGATCGGTCATGCTGTGCAATCAAGAAGGGACACTAGCACTTGCGGAGGGCCCAGCTTGGCTCAGCACTTAGGTGGAAAGGAAGGAACCCGATGCAGTTATTAAAGCTGAGGCTGAGTTTTCAGAGCTGACAGCTGGGATTTACTTTGTTAGTAAAATAAGCAAATTTGCTGCTGAAATCACTGGTACACAGTCCCCTGAGCCCCACATTGCCTAGTCTAAAGTACACTTTTTAGTCACTGACTGTTTTAAGTATTTGTATCTACAAGTGGTAGCATATGGCTTGTAGGATGCTGGTTTTGGTGTCTTAATGTTGGCAACAAACACTGAGTCTTTGTTATTTAATTAGTTCTTTTCAGAGAAGGTACTGAGCATGTCCAGTTCTCGTTCTCTTTTACAAGAGATGTGGGCACCCTGCAGCTCTAGGGTCGTTCTGCTGTAGTGCCTGCCTTCAGCCACGCGGTCTGAGAATCTTGGTCACAGTATCTCAGGCTTCCTTCCTTCTAAAGGTGAAACCTCTCTTAATTGCTGATCTCCAGCCTTTTTTGGTTCTATATAGTTTTTTGGTTATGCATACTTTATACTTACTGACATGACTCAGCTGTCTTCTCCAGCTCATTCCTAACACTGTTTTTTGGCATCAGTTTCAGATTATGATTATTTCTCTGTGAGTGGTGACCAGGAGGCAGAACAACAAGAGTTTGACAAATCCTCTACCATCCCAAGAAACAGTGACATTAGCCAGTCCTATCGCAGAATGTTTCAAACCAAGCGTCCTGCTTCCACCGCAGGTCTGCCAACCACGCTTGGACCAGTCATAGTCACCCCTGGCGTCGCCACCATCAGACGGACCCCTTCCACCAAGCCTTCAGTCAGACGTGGCACCATAGGGGGAGGTCCCATTCCGATCAAGACTCCAGTGATTCCTGTCAAAACACCAACTGTCCCCGATATCCCAGGGGGGCTGCCCGGCACCCTTGCTGGGACAGAAGAGTGTCCTGAGCAAGGTCCCGAGTCTCCAGCTGCAGGAGATGGTGGGCAAGGTGTCACCAGCATGCCCTCATCCTCATGGAGTGGACAAGCATCTGTCAACCCTCCACCGTCAAGCCAGAAACTGAGTGCTGCTGACGAGCAGAGGCAAGCGGTTCCTGAGAGTGAGGGGGAAGAAAGTGAGCGGGATGATGTCAGCACCCTCGCGCCCGTGGGCCAGCCGGAGCTTGATCCCGGAGAGCTGAGTCCTGGGGATGTCCCACAAGGTGAAGATATGCTGAACGCCATTCGGCGTGGTGTCAAACTGAAGAAGACGACCACGAATGATCGCTCAGCACCTCGTATTTCCTAGGAGTAGAAAAGTGCCAGAGTACCAGCCGCCGAGAAGGAACTGTGAGGAAACTAATTTGTCTCTATCCATTCCAATCTGTAATAATGAATTTTTTAAGATACTCGGTAACAGACAGTCTGAAAGTACTCTAAGAGAAAACAAGGTGAAAGAGCGTAGTAAGACATAATCTTCACTGGTGTTTTAATTTGTAAATATCAATGATTTTGTTTCTGCATTCTTTTGATCTAAGTTACACTTTTAATTTTTTCTGAAGGTGCCAAATCCCATTTACCTTTTTTATAACTCTCTTTGTAAAGTTTTAAATCATATGAGAAAAATATGTGTAGTAGTTAACTTCAGCAAAGGGATTTAATGAAATTTTGGGAGTTTTTGCAAGCTTGTAATAGTGAGGTTAAGAACAAAACAAAACTGGGACTTAAAGTCAAGCTGTAAGGAAAAGATCTTCATTTAAGTATTAAAAATAAAGTTTGAAAAGCAGGAATAAAAAATGATGATTAAAGCAATATATAATGCAAGGAAGAAACCTGCAGTTGGTAGAGTATTTGGGGGGTAGTGGGGGGAGGGAGATGCCATCAAAATAGCAGATGCTGTTGCACAAAAGTAGCCTAGTAGGATTAATTACTAGTAGCTTCATGGTAAATGCATCAGAATAAGCCATATTGGATTGCAGTGTTTTGTTTCTGTAGGGTGTTTTACAGACTGATTTTTTGCCACATTTCTTTTTTGACTGCACAGCAACAACTCTCAGTCACATGCATGCAGCCTTAACGGTGTAGGCTTGGTTCTTCTACCTTCATTTTTTGTTCCACTCATCCTTTCACTGAATACAAACAAGGACGACAGGCTTAAGGCAGTTACAAATGTGAAAACATTTTTAAAATGCAAGCAGGGAGTTCTTAGATATTATCAAAATGCCTTTTTCTGACTGTGCCCAGCAGGCTGGGCACCTTGGAAAGCCCAAATATTTTGACAAAACACTTAACAATTTGACAGGTGTAACCAGCTTGTGATCTAATAAAGTGTGAATGTTTCTTTCCAATACAGGGGCTTGTTTTTCTTAACTTCTTTTAAATGGCAGTTGATTGGCTTTTCTTAAATACCGAAAAGAAAGGGATGAAGGGTGGGGGGTGGGGAGAGATACTGGGTTTTTGATAATACTGGGAGTCTGACCACTATATTCTCGTTTTTTGTACTTTAAGTCATGTTTTTTGGAACGCTATTGATAGAATTATTAGGAGTTGGATTTTTTCCTTAAAGTAAGTTATTGCTGCAATATCCGCCTCCTAAAGCTGATAGAAATATGCAGACCCCAGGGCATGACACGTGTTCTGATCAGACAGTCCAGGAGGATGCCGTCTGCCCACCCACCGCAGGCCCACGCAGGGATGGACAACAGACTTGCGAATCCAAGATTGTTTAAAAACATACCAAATAATACACAAAAGGGGCTAGATACCACCACACTCTGCAGATTTCTGTTGGCTCTAGACTTGCCTACATAACCTCTTATGCTTTAATACATAACTGCATTGGATGTGAAATTTCTAGTAACTGTGTAGTCACTGTGTTCTATATAACATTTTACACTGCTGTGGTTGCTAACCTTTTTTTTTTTGTTATGGCTTAAAAGCAAAAAGTAAAAAAAAAAAGGCATGATTCTTAGAAAATGTTAAACCTTCCTTTCTTTGAAAAACAAGCTCCTTATTACAGAATATAATAAACAGTAGTGCCTGTGGTGTAGCCCACCAATCTTGATACAGTAGCTGATGCATTGTGCAAATGAGGCTTTGAGATGGTTTTTGCATAAACAAAAACTGCTAGGAGATAATCTCAATAGTTAAAAGTGTTATTTAAACCTTTGAAATAAATGGATGTAACTGTACCTGAGTACAGCTTTTCACTTGTTTAGTTCTTAAACGTTAGTATAATCAGTAAAATTTAATATAAAATGTTGCCAAATTCAATGTAGAAAGAATGTGACAAAACACTTTGGATAGTTCTATTGTTTGTGTTTTTGCATATTGTAAAAGCAGTGTCACAGCTAAAAAATAAAATGTTTCTAATGGTAAATTATTGTGGTTTAGTTGCTAGTTTGTACTGAGAGTTGACCTCTCCCTGTGCAGTTTTTTGTTCTAAACTGGTATAAATAATTGCTGTAAGTGTGTCTCCCTTCTACATTGTAATGATTGCTTAAGCCTACATTATAAATAAAGAACTGCTGGAAAACTTCTGTATTTCAGTTCTTAAAGACTGCTTTCAGAGCTTTGGATATCAATGGTGTCCTTCATCAGACTTCTGAAAAATCACACAGGTTCCATCTGCATGGAACAGGAGCAAGAGGGAATTAAAAAATAAGTAAAAAAATCACATATAGCTATGTTTTACTGATGTGCACTGGAAGGGCAGTAGCAGAGCAAAGGTGCAGTGCAAGTGATGGAAATTCCATTTAAATAATAACTGATGACGTTCCTCTGTCCCGCACTGCTGTTACCTGGCTAGAAAGCACAGATCACTGGATGTGTTTGTGCCTCTGCTTCAATGCTGGACTGCAGTTCCTTTTGCCAGAGGAAGAAAACGGCTGCTGTCCACACTGCCCGTGTTACAGCCAGAATTTATCAAGCACAACACCTGTGTTGTCTCCCACACGCCCCCAAGTGATTGAAGACTCCCTTTTGTTCAGCTTTCGCAGGAACAAAGGTAGAGAGGGAGGATATTGCTACCACACAGTGGACTAATTTATTTCCTTGCAAATGTGATAGATTAATTTCTGTCCAGAGGTTTCAGTTTGTCATGAAGACATTAAAAAGGAAAACTCAAGCCAGTGTGGCTGGAAATATGTTCTGTCTCCCAAAGGATTCTAGTTTCACTCCCCCTATAGTAAGGAACTCTTACTATGAACAAGTACCTTCAGTACTGAAAATCAGCAGAGAAAAGCACCAGTGCCCCAGTGGAGAAAAGACAGCTCCGTGCTGAGTAGGTGAGGGGTGTGCTGAACAGAGGGCTGGAAATTCTGCTACTGCCTTTGGACTAACGGAGGGACAGCACAGATCCAGCTTCCTGGTAAAACTGAAACTTTCAGTAGTGGAACATGTAAAGTATTTTTTCTAAAATCAGGCTTATTTTAGCATGTAGGCTTACTGAAAAAAAAAAAAAAAGGCCACATAAAATTTCTAAAAACCAGCCAGATTAAAGCCTTTTCTTTAACTCAAATTTGGTATGTTCAGTCCTTTAAAGCAGCTGAAGATAGTGACTTTACCATCTCTTGCTATCTTCAAGCCTTACGTTTGAGTTCATGGAAAAAATGGGCCCTAGGGTTAAATATGGTGCAATCGATTAGTTTCTGTAGAATGAAAGTCAGATTAGGTAACCCAAATCTCCTCTCTTCTAGCTGTAAAATGTGAGGACAGCAGAAGAGCCAGGAAGGTTTTATCTATGAGCCTTTACTAAGTTGCTATATCCCATCTATTCTCTTACTCACTGGGAGGTTAGTGAAAGCATTAGCAAAATTTCCTGTGTCTTACATCAACGCTTTGAGAATGTGGCCAGAAGTAGCAGATTGCAAGTTATCAGGCTGATACAAATTGGTTTTTAATTTTCATCTGCTCCCTCCAGACCCCTCACCCTGCCCCCTTCTCCACAGCAGGAGCCAGGCTCTGGCCCCACAGTGTGACTCTCGGTTCAGTTGCCCGTCATTCCATCCAGTCCCCCAGTAAATTTGCTTCTCTTCCCTCTTGAAACTCACATTCTTTCTCTGGGAACACAAGTTTTATGTGGTCACCAGTCTCATAGTTGAGGTTTCTAACTCTTAATGTGAAAGCTGCAGTGTACTTTCACCTTTATAAAATTTGCTCTGGAGTTAGTAACCCATTAAGACTTCTTCACAGGCTGGTCCCTGTTCTCTGATGTTTTAGGTACACAGTGCAGGTGTTAACTGTCATCTGTTCTACACCACACAAACTGGAAGTGAAGCATCTGCATGCTATAGAAGAACAGTATGCCAGAAAAATGTCTTTACTTTATTTGGCTTTATTTTGTATTACCTGGAGTAGCATGCGGTCACTGACATGTCGACTGCCTATAGAAGACAAACCGCTTCAATTCACACGTAAAATAACACTTCTTTTACATGGGAATTTCACGAGGCCTTGTAACATACTGCCACCACAGTGGTGGCAGATGCCCTTCCTTACGAGCTGGAGGCAAAGCTTCAGTTCTTGGACCATCAGCTGGAGTTTCTTCTTCTAACTGCTTAATCTAGAAGACAGACATGAAGTTGCTTTAGTACATAAATGCACATTTCCGTAATGTGTTCAGTGCCCCGGAGTAAGTGAAACTGGCCCCCATTTCAGAAGGGAAGAACCAGCAGTAATGCCTTCCCCTGACAGACAGGTTCCATGTTTCTCAGTATTTGCTTAAACTCAGTAATTACTGTGGGCTCATATTACCTAATTAAGAAGGAATCTGTAGGAGTAAAAAGTGATTTACAAGAGAAATGTTACTTAAAAGGTCATTATTTCCACGTAATTCATGTCTACCACTGCTACATTAAACAGACTGCATTCTTTTGCTGCTTTGAAACCTGGCAGATAATTACAAGTGCCAAACAACCTTAATTCCAGTCAGTAGACCTCTACTTCTGCGTGGCACCAACAGCCCTTTACATGTTTTCAATACATGTTTCTTGAAGCAGCATAAGTGCTTGCTGCTACATTAATTCTGGTAAGAATGCCATACTACATATTTCTCTGAATTAAAGAATTATTCTAAGAATAACAACTTTTTCCAACTGAATCTCCCTTGAGCTTGGCCTGAAATCATTCTCGATTCTCAAATGATGAACACTGTGGTAAGTCACTTTCAAAGGTACAATCAGAAAGTGTTCAGAGATTTACAACAGCAGAAGAGGAACTCTGGTCATTAATCTCTTCTCATCCCTTTGGAAGTTCTTCAGCAAACCTGCTACAACAGCCCTGTACTAACTGAAACATGGTTGCAGGTTCATCTTTAACTTCAAATTCCCTTTGCACCCTTAACCCAAGATCTCTGTGTAGCCATTTTAGGTCAAGTCAGTGTTTCGTGCTGACAAGAGTTCTAATAAAGCAGAGCCTATATGAGATCACAGTGGGCATTCATATATTTTCCAAGAACACATCTGAGTGTCACAAAAAATACTCATGTGCCAAAGAGGCTTTACTTTGCATGGAGCAAGCACTGACCTCTTTGTCCCAGCTTTCCCGCTGCAGCTTCTTCCATTGCTCTCGTTTGGCAAAGTAATCAGGATACATCGCCTTCTCAGAAGGATGCCAGAAATCCAAGCACCATTCAGGAATCTGTTAAATAGTTGCATATATATTATTTTTATATTTGAAATCACATTAGTGCACGCACACACAAAAGAACTAAATGCAATCACTGAAGCCAGTATTAACATGGAACAAATAACCCAGGAAATAAAAGTACTACATAAAAACACTACTTAAGAGCTACTTGACTACTGTCAAGTCTCAAGGCACTACATGGCAGAGGTCAGTGCTTTTAATCTGTGTTTCACACATTATCCTAAGTCATAGGAAGACATCACAGTGACTTGCTTCAATCATAGCATCCCAAAGACAAGGCTCAGGTTATCTCAGGTTTACTCAAAAGTTCTCAAAATAATTCCATCTGGTGGAAAAGAAGATCTCATTTCCTCCCTTTCTTCTCCCAAAAGCAGCAGGTTAGGGAGATCCTTTTCTCCAACTACTAACTTATTTTCTTTAACAGAGACAGAACCTTACAGCTCATTTCCACTTGTCTACAACTAATGAAAAAATTAGTGGCCTTTAAGATCTTGATAATGGTCTAACCTCTAAGTCAAGAAAAAAAAAAGCTGAATTTAAAATTCTCTAGCAGCCTATCACTGAATGTTAACATTTTAAAGACAGGAACATTGATTAAAAAACAAAACAAAACCCCACAAAAAACCTGAATCCTTAAAAAAATGAAAATTAAGAAGTTGCTCCAATACCATCATTCATCCAGGGACATTTACACTTCCAGTTTCCTGCTGTGATTCTCATCCCTGAGTAAACCTCTCACTGAATAGCAGAGCTGCTAATAATAGTATTAAAGAAATCCACACACACCAAACAACAATTAAAGCCATCAAACAGTCCGAGTTCTAAAAACTACATTTTATAGCAGCATCCACAATGCACAGTCACTGATATATCAACAAGCTGAATCCTTGTGACAGCCATTTTGTTAAACAACAGTTTTAGCATGTCAAACAGGACAAAGAAAAGAGAACCTAAACCAGTTTATATTTCTATATGAAGACTAATCTTGACCATTTACTGCTCAATGGGCCTTTTTTGTGTCCGGCTTCTCTCTCACTATTACCTCTATTACTGCTAAGGCCCATGACCTTGGCATAAGCTTAAGTCCTCCTCCTCCCTTTTCATTCATGTGTTCTTTTTTCTGCCTCTTGATAAATCTACATCATGTTCTTCCTTTCACATGGCTTCTTGTGCGTAAAGATCTAATCAGATCTAGTCTTGGGTATGCACTTTCTTCAAATTCAGTAGAAAGCCGGTGCATGCACTCTCTAGGTTAATATTAACTTCTCATAATGCATTAGGAGCTGATGCCAAGAAAGCAAAAAGTCCGTATTTTTCTATGAAATCTGTTTCTTGGCTCCTAAATAGAACAATCTAGGGGGGGCAAAAGCCTCTAGAAGTGTCTTAGATTCTAAGAATACTGCTTCTATTTTTAGGCATACCACCTATCACACAAGCGACACACCAATATGTATCTGACACCACAGCATATGAAGGGAAATTATAATTTGTACCATTACTCAAAATGCTGGAAGAACAATGAGACTGTGAGAAGACCCCCCAACAGCCAAGCCAACATCTGACAAGATTAGAGAGAAACCAAGGCTGTGACTAGATGACATAGTGAAGGGTAGCACAGACTCCCTCACATTGTTTATTCTCACAGCTCAGCTCCAACCCTTTCACTGTGCCTGCCTGACCCATCGTAGAACAGCTTCGATTTGGCAAAAGAACAGATTATCATCCCAGCAAAAATAAGCTGTCTTCAGACAGACCAGCAAATTCCATTTTCAAGGATCAGACAAGCAGGCCAGGTGCTCCCATGCAAGCAGCAAGATGTTCATCAGCAGTAAACTACTAGAGAAACAACAGCGCTGAGTCAAGCCCTACAAAGATCGACTTGAAACACTCACTTTCCATTTACTAAAAAGAGTCAGGTAAACACAGTAACACACAATCTGACCTTGTAGCATTCATATCTCTCATAGGAAGTGCCCCCAGGGGAGTCAGGGAAGATGTACGGCTGAGGGTGCTGGTTTGCCCAGAACTCCTCCTCGCCGGCCTTCAGCAGCTCTGTAGCTTTCACCATATCCTTCACATCCTTGTTTTTATCAAACCGGTCTCTCAGGAGGCAGGCAAAGTAGCGGTACTTGTCTCTACAGACAGACATTAAGCACAGTGACGTACATTGTGGAAAAAACCCCAGCTAATCCCATACAGGAGCAAAGCTTGGCAGCACCAGGAGCCACCCGCGCGCAAAGACAGGGCCTGGCCAGGGGCCAAGGAGGAGCGCCTGTTCCCACACTGCCCTTTTCTGGAGCAAGCAGAGATAAGCGGCCACAGAGGCTTTTTCCTCACCCCTTCAGCCACACCCCGGGGGAGGGAAGGAACGAGGACAGAGCCCCAGTCGAGCCCAAGGCCCCGTCTCGGCGGGGCAGGCCAACCCTCCCCCCTCAGCTAAGTGCGGAGCTAAGACACCCGCTCCGAGGAAGAACTGCCCTC